TGTGGGTGTGTGTATATATATATATATATATATATATATAAATAAATAAATACAGGGCCAACCTTAGGGGGGTGCAACTGGTGCCCCACGCTTGAGGGGGCCCTGCAGCGATGGCGACACTGATCTTGCCATGCATACATATATATTTATTTATTTATATTTAAAATTACCTAACTAAAAAGTGAGCAATATTACATGTGTTTGAAAATAAAAAAATGTGTTCTACTGTCTAGGGTCTGCCATCAGGAGTTAAAGGGGATGTTATGAGACATAACATCCCCTCTTTTTTCTTGTTTTTACTTTTCACGTTTTTCCTTATGGTATTAAAAAGGGGGAAGGGGGTTCAAACCTTTGTCACTTTTTTCACTCCTGATAAGTTTTTTATCTTTCCATGCACAAGCTAGTAATGGGCTTTTGGTCATTGACTTGCAGAACGTTTTCTGCTTTAGTTAAATGTTAGTGGCTACTAGAATTCAGGGGGGCGCCGACACTGATCTTGCATACCCCTCAGCAAATGTGCAGTTGCACCCCTGCACACTAGCAACCGTGTAGCAACACGCCCTAGAGTTTTGCTTGGGCAAGCACTAGATAGACTTTTGGTAAAGTTTTTCACAGGCTCAAAACGATCTTCATGTAGTGGAAACAAATGAGCTCATGGCAGACATCCTCACTAATGCAAGCCAGATGTTGTCTGTGATAGATAGTTCCCTTCCCCCTACTGCTGTAATGTAAACAGCCCTGCCACACCCATGGAAAAACTGGAGAGCTCCTGGAATTCTGACAGTCAGACGATGCATGTGGTCCTGATCAGTGCGTTTCTGCTCCAGCTCGCAGCCGTTCGGAGAACTAAATGTGCTTCTTTCTGCAAACACACAAAGATTAAATATAGCAGGCGGTTCTAGCAGTTCACGTTTGCTGTGTTGACTGTATGACTCCGATGTTGTGTAGTTTGGAAAAGTTTGTTTTTAAGGAGTTTTTACTGTGAATGTAAATTATGCTGAACTCTGGAGGAAAGTGAAACTCGTGAGTACGGTTACACATGCTTTTTAACTCTTTTCTGTCTCACAGTTTTCTGCACGTTGTTGCACTCCTTTAACTGTGAATCTTGAGTTGTTTCATGCATTTGCTACTGTGTACATATAAAAAAGCATTTTTCATCTTAAAGACATTTAAAGGTCTAAAGGATTAGCCTATTCTTAAATCCTTGAGAAGCTAATATAAATTTCCATTTGTGTTATTTCATAATTTGAATGATTTTACTGTTATTTTATTTTATTAACTTTATTTCAGTTAACAAGGCAACATTTCTCATTTTCATTTAGTTTAACTTTGTGAACTAACATAGCTAAAACTAAGACTGTAATTAATAAAAACGATATAAATATTTAAGAAGAACAAAAACTAATAGAAATGACAGAAACAACAAAATTGCAACAACTTAAAATTACATTTAAGCAAAACATTAAAGCGGAATGTATATTAAAATAGTAGGCCTATCTATAGTATCGCTATAGTAGTATCTCAACAATACTACATTCAATTCAAGTTTATTTGTATAGCGCTTTTCACGATACAAATCGTTGCAAAGCAGCTTTACAGAAAATTCAGTTTCTACAATATATTTAGTAGTAGCTTGTCAGTGGTGACTGTCAAATTGATGGCAAAAATGTACGGTAAAATTCGGTTAATGACGTAATATATGACACAAAATAACACTGGTGTAAAAAATTTATGTAAATGTCAAATGTAATGTCACGTATGTTGAAGCTTATTAAAAAATGTGGGGCAAAAACATAGGCTAAAATATTTTATTATTTGCAAACATGCTTTGTGTGTCTGTGCAAGCTGAATGTAAAGTGCATTGGAAATAAATGTGCTTTTGTCTTTTCTGTTACAGGACAGACATCTATGAAGAGGCTGTAGATGTGTGTCATATTTGGATTGAACATCTGGAAATTGTGAGGCGTTTCTCGCCAGAGGCCGTCACATGTCATGAGCATGGTCAGAGAAAGACTTTGTGTTTCATAGCAGTGTGTGCCTATGTCAGATTCTCCGTTACGTTTCTACAAGCTCAAGGGCTGATATGAATAAAGCAGCGTCGTGGTCAGAGGAGGAGGTCTCGCTCTGGCTGACCGATCAGGGCCTGCAGGAATTCTCAGAACCATTACGAAACTACGACGGACCGGCTTTGTTAAATCTTACGACGGATGACTTCAAGAGGTCACCCCTCTCCAGAGTCACATCAGACAGTGGTCATCTGCTCCTGGAAAAGATTGAGACTCTTAAGATCGAGCATCATATCGACGTCCACAAGAATGGACAGGCCGACGGGCACATGGTGTTGAATCATAACGGGAATGCTGGGAGTGCCGGAAAGGCTCACCGGAATGGCGTGGTGAATGGCTTCCACAAGGAACTGGTGCAGATTCCCATACCAGAGCCAGCTTCTCCGCGGTTTCCTCCTGAATGGGGAAAGACGGCCGTGGCTCTTGTCTATGCCTTATGCTGCTTCGTCTTGACCACCGTCATTATTTCTGTGGTCCATGAACGTGTGCCTCCTAAGGAGGCATCTCCACCGCTCCCTGACAAGTTCTTTGACTTTTTTGACCGAGTGGAGTGGGCTTTCACTATATGCGAGATCAACGGAATGATTCTGATGGTCTTGTGGATTATACAGTTGAGTCTCTTAAAACACAAGTGAGTTTTCGAAGTAGCACACACTGTGTATGTGAATCATTCATGAATGCTGTTTGTAGGTGGTTCTCATTACATAACCTGTAATGTCCCAGGCATATTTTACCCCAAATTCAAAAGAAATAAATAATATCTATTTAGCTTAATGAGGAGAATTTTTATACTTTGACATAATTGTCATGACAATTAAGCATTTTAGCTTAAATTAACAATAAAGTAATGAGAATATTTTATTGCATTACAGTAATAAGTTGTGCTTAATTGTTTATTTAAATAATATATTATTCATGAAATTCAACAGTAATCAGAAGAAAAATATAATTTCTATAATTTCTTTTTTTGCATTTTAGTAATGAGACAATAAGACAATTACAGTAATACAAAACATGTAAATTATAGTTTTGTCTGATTTAAAATATTTTTGTAACAAGCACAATTTTCACAAAAATATCATTAATGTAATGCAAAAAGTTATATTTTCATATGCTAACTGTTTTATGAATTACATATTATTTAAATAATATAATTTTTGTGACAATTAAGCACAGTTTTCAATAAAATTATTATTAATCCAAGAAAATATTATTCTCATTACTAATTAAAATAAATAAATATTTTGATTATTGTTTTCTGAATTAACTAGTTTAAATAATATTTTCATAATTAAGTACACATTTCACTTAATCATTACAATGCAATGAAATAAACAATATCTTTGTTACTGCAATGCAAAAAATATGAATTATATTTTAAATTATATTTAATTAATTTTATATTAATAAACAATATTTAAATAATATTTTTGTCTATTAAGCACAATTTTAATCATTACCATAATACGGGACACTGATTCTCATTACTGTAATGCAGTAAAAATTATTTGAATGGTATTTTGTTCTCATAGCTGTAATACGAATACAATATTATTTAAATGACACTTGAGCATAATTGTCCTTCATATTGTCATTACCATAATGCAAAAACATATTCTCTTTACTGTAATGATTGAAAAAAACAAAACAAGAATTGCTGTATTTCTTTATTTAATCATCATTGGGAATCATCATGTAAAATGTCTGGATGTCACATTATGGTAATGAGCATTCAAGAGGAAAATGTGCTTGATTGTCGTGACCGTACTTTCACAATTCAAAACCTTAATGAATAGACCAAGTCTTATATCTTGTGACAAAATGTGACTTGCTTGGACATGTGAGACGCACCCTAGTAGTACTGTGGTTAAAATATTAAACCACCACATCTGCCTTCCACAGATCAATTGTTGGCCGACGCTTCTTCTTCATAGTCGGGACGCTCTACCTCTACAGGTGCATCACCATGTACATTACTACTCTTCCAGTGCCTGGCATGCACTTCAAATGCTCTCCTAAGGTAAATACAACATAATCTCACTCTCCTTTCCCATTCTCATATTACTTGTTTACTTTTTAACGCTGTTAAACCTTATAATCAGCACAAATAACATTGTTAAGCAGGCAGGCTGGTTGGCCAGTTAAAGGAATAGTTCACCCAAAATATTCTAGATACAATGGAATGGAATGGAAGAGGATAGTGACTCTCTTTAAATCTTAAAAAATAATGAAAAAGTATCATACAGACTTTATGGATGATGTATTGCATATTTTCTATGAATTCAATTTTCATCCCAGAACCTTTATTCCGGTTTATTCTGTCTCACAGGATAGGTTAGGTGACCATCTATGTTTTGAACAGTTGATGTAAAGTATTCGTGACTGTTCTATAAATGTCCTCAGAGCAGAGGTCACAAAGGGACATATTTCACGTTGCACCGAGAAGCCGTTCATGGAAAATGGGAAGTGTGCTATTTTCAACTGTTTTCCCTGTCCATATGTTCTGGCAAACCACTTATATTGAGAATCGGGATAGTGTCAGAAAGAAGTTGACAGGTCGTTTTTGTACTTAATTTGTTTTCACATTACTTTTATGGGATTCAAATAGAAATATAGGTTTTTAGAAAAAGCTTAAGCATGGAGGTCCAGTCCTAAACTTAACACTCAGTAAGGAGTAAGCAGATTGTGATTTATTTTTATATATTACTTAAAGCTGCAGTCCGTACATTTTTTTGGTTAAAAATGATCCACAATCAATATTTGAGCAAGTACATAACCAGCCAGTGTTCAAAACTATCGCCTTACTTTAGCCCGATTCACAACAGTTATCTTATAATAATGTTTTCTAATTTGAGTGGTATGGGTAGGTTTTCGCGGGAAATTCGAGCGTGCTGCTGCGTCATTGCTGTAAACCGAAAGAAGTTGTCCCGGCTACTAGGCTATAGCATGTGAGGATCCTGCAGGTGGCGGATCGTTTATAGCCTTTTCTCACAGCAGCCAGAATAATTAAATGTATCATTCTGATGGCGGATTGTAATCCAGAAAGGATTATGTGTTTATGAAACACATGTGAATGAAATTAAATTATTTTCCAGTTATAAATGTGCTTCTGATTACAGATCGCAATATACGGTGAAAATTCTTATTTGGGTCATATTCCAAGAAGTATGCTAGAATCTGTGAAGTACAGTAAATATCCACACCGGTGACTGACTGCCACACGTACTCTTCAGAACATTAGATTCATCCGCGCTGGAGCCGTGCCGCCGCACAACCCACGCAAGGAAGATAATTCCGCACACAACTGCAATTGCAGGTTTTCAAACAGAGATGGCGACAAAGAGGCAAAACTTACGGACTGCAGCTTTAAACTATATTTTTATGACATTTAAGCACAATTTCACTAAAATGATCATTAATCCAACAAAATATTATTCTCATGTAATGCAAAGAATTAAAAGGATATTTTCTTATGAGTAAAATATTGTTTAAGTAATACTTTCATGACAATTAAGCACAATTTTCACTTAAATGATCATTACCGCAATGAAAGAAAATATTATTTTTGTTACTGTAATGCAATATTTAAAAGGTATTTTGTTCATATTACTTTTATATGAATAAAACGTTATTAAAATAATATTTTAATGTCAATTAAGCACAATTTTCACTTAAATGATCATTACTGCAATGAAAGAAAATATTATTTTTGTTACTGTAATGCAATATTTAAAAGGTATTTTGTTCATATTACTTTTATATGAATAAAACGTTATTAAAATAATATTTTAATGTCAATTAAGCACTATTTTCACTTAAATGATCATTACCGCAATGAAAGAAAATAATATTTTGGTTACTGTAATGCAATATTTAAAAGGTATTTTGTTCATATTACTTTTATATGAATAGAACGTTATTTAAATAATATTTTAATGTCAATTAAGCACTATTTTTACTTAAATGATCATTACCGTCATCCAAGGCAATGTTATTCTCATTACTGTAAGTAATGAGACAATTATTTTAATGATGCTTTGTTCTCTTTGCTTTAATATGAATAAAATATTATTAAAATAATATTTTTAGGGTCGTGAATATGCCTGGAAAGTTGATACGAAAATTCATTTTATGATTGTGATGTTAGCGAGTCAATTTGATCTGCAAATTTCATGTATTAAGACTGACCCTATTAGGTTTTAAGTTTTAGATTTATGCTTTTTACATGAAATGTACACTGTGTTGACAGCATACATTTTTATCAGTTTGTGCATGTGAATCAAACCCCTACTGGAAAATGCGCGCGCACACACACACACACAAATAAATAAATATTTAAAATATAAATTCACATTTTTGTGGAAAACAAATGTAAAAAAAAATAGATCAAAATTAAATCAAATATTTAATTAATATAAGGGTTAATATAAGGGTCAAATAAGGGTTAAATAAGAAAACAATGTAAGTAAGTGTCAGAAAATGGCAAATAGTGAAATCTATGGAAATTTGCTATTTTCTTCATAGAAATGAATAGGGAACTATTTTCCCTATCAGTGGGAGTCTGCATGTACCGGAAAAATTTGCAATATTATTGTGAAATGAAAGGATTTTTTTTAGAGTGTAAGTCCTCTAGTGTTGCCATGCTGACAGTCCACTGGTGTGACTCGTTGTGGCTGATGAACACGCAGCGTTAAAGGCAGGAAATCCACACCACGGGACCTGCAGGAAACACGTATTATCAAGCAACTCTTTGACTCTTGTTAGAACCTGTTTTCCTGTTGTATGCAGTTGCTGAAAGCCAGACAAAAACACCAAGAACTTTGTTTATTAGGAGCCGGTGTTTGCTTTTATGTCAAGTCTCAAAGGGGTTATTTGTTCATTTAAGCTCTCGACATGAACACATGCTGAGTTTGTAAAAACAAAATAGGACAAGCAGTGTATGGAAATTGGTTTAAGGAATTATGGGAGAATGTCATGATGCTAATGCTTGTTTGTTGTTTCTGGCAGCTGTATGGTGACTGGGAATCTCAGATGCGGCGGGTGATGAAAATGATCGCAGGAGGAGGTCTGACCATCACAGGCTCTCATAACATGTGTGGAGACTACTTGTACAGCGGCCACACAGTCATGCTAACCCTCACTTGTCTCTTCATGAAGGAGTGTGAGTAACTCTGCTGTGAGGAGAGATTTGAAACGACACCATCCTCTAGTGGACAGTTGAAACACAAGTTTTGATTATACAGCTGTACCAAAAAGTATTTGGATATTATGATGCGTTTAAAAGTGTAGGAATTGTATTGCCTTAGATGATTATGAGTTTTCAATTCCTGGCTCTGTTTGGATCAGATGGAACATAAGCTTAAAGTAGTAATGCAATATTTATCAACCAAAACTATATTTTATATGATCAATATTTTCAAATAAATGAGTGATTATGCAAATATATATATATTATTGTTACTGTTTTATTACCATGTTATTACTACATTTGCACCCTTTTTATTTCAGACTAATTGAAATGTATACATTTTACATGAACTACAGGAAACACACTCTGATGCAAGATTATTATTTTAATACTCAGGAAATTTTTATTAGAATATGTCTTTTGAAATTTATAAGAACATATGATTTGAGAATTTAAATTGAGAATCCATTACAATCGATGGATTTAAATTTATTTTAACTTATATAGTGTTTATATCATGATAGTCAAAAATATGAATTCAAAATAGTCTACATTTATGAAACCTACATTTTCCTTCTAACAAAACTCTATAAATATTACTCTAGAATGTTTGCAGACAAAATAGATGCATTATACTTGCATGAAGTTTCACTTTATCAGTGGTTCACTAGGGCCTTTAATAACTACTTTATTAACAATATTCAGTCCGAAAAGTATGTGAGATGTGGAAAAGAGGTTAAATATATTTTATTAAGTATTATATTAATAGGTATTTTTGAGACACAGAAAGCCTCAGTTGATACCTGGGTCAAAATGGACCCAAACCAAATGGTGTATCTGTATACATTTTACATGAACTACAGGAAACACACTCTGATGCAAGATTATTATTTTAATACTCAGGAAATTTTTATTAGAATATGTCTTTTGAAATTTATAAGAACATATGATTTGAGAATTTAAATTGAGAATCCATTACAATCGATGGATTTAAATTTATTTTAACTTATATAGTGTTTATATCATGATAGTCAAAAATATGAATTCAAAATAGTCTACATTTATGAAACCTACATTTTCCTTCTAACAAAACTCTATAAATATTACTCTAGAATGTTTGCAGACAAAATAGATGCATTATACTTGCATGAAGTTTCACTTTATCAGTGGTTCACTAGGGCCTTTAATAACTACTTTATTAACAATATTCAGTCCGAAAAGTATGTGAGATATGGAAAAGAGGTTAAATATAGTTTATTAAGTATTATATTAATAGGTATTTTTGAGACACAGAAAGCCTCAGTTGATACCTGGGTCAAAATGGACCCAAACCAAATGGTGTATCTTTTTTTTATGTATATCTCATGTATATCTCTATTTTAAATGTAAAATCTTATTTTTGAAAGTTCTAAAAGTTAGGCACAAGTTTAGTTCCTGTGCTAAAAAATAATAATCGGTAACACTTTATTTTAAGGTGTCCTTGTTACACATGTAACATGTACTTACTATTATAATAACAATTAGTTATGCATAATTACATGCAAGTAACCCTAAGCCAAACCCTAACCATATAGTAAGTACATGTAGTTAGTTAATATTACTCAGTACATAAATGTATAATTACACTGTAACAAGGACACCTTAAAGTGTAACCTAATAATTGTATGCTTTATCACTTACATTTCTCTTCTGTATCTACACGTATAGTTGTTCACTCTTTTAAGACATAACAGCATTGACAGTTTGGGCAGAAATGTGCTGAAATGCTCAATGCAAAAAAAACGTATTGGTCCTCAAAATACATTTTGAGTCGACTTTATGCAAGTTTTGCTTGCTGTCAGTAGATTTTTGCATTATTTCATTAGTTTTCTATTTGGTAGACTCAAACTGCAGTTTTTTTCTTGCATTAGCCTTGAAGCAAATAGTCTATAATCTTATGTTCTACATTATAAGAGTCCTGATTTCCTTGTTCCTCACAGATTCGCCTAGACGGTTCTGGTGGTACCACTGGGGCTGTTGGGCTCTGTCTGCAATAGGATTGTTTTGCATCCTTCTTGCTCATGACCACTACACGATTGATGTCGTCGTGGCCTACTTCATCACCACACGTCTCTTCTGGTGGTATCACACAATGGCCAACCAACAAGTACGTCTGTTTGTTTTGGCACAGCACACATGCCACAATTTCCATTCAGAGCTCTGCGTCAACTTGTTTTATTTTAACCTTCTTCATCTGCATCTTTTCTAGGTGCTCAAAGAGACATCCCAGACCAACTTTGTCACCCATGTATGGTGGTACCGATTTTTCCGGTACCTGGAAAACAATGTTCCCGCCGTCGTCCCCTGCAGCTACCAGAAGCCCTTCTCGTGGCAATCGCTGCATTGGGGCCATGTGAAGTACACACGGATAGACTCGGATTGACTAACGTGCAAATGCTCCATTTGGATGTTGGTCTCCAAAACATGTGCCCAAAGTGCCAGAACTAACCTGATCCCTTTAACTAACAAAACCAGTCATCCAAAGCATCTCATTCCTCTGTGACCTCACAGGATTGGTTTTGGATGTAAAACTTAGCACATATGGGGCTGAGAACAATATGGCTGTAGGAGGAACCATTGTCAGTGATTTTCTTCTCTCTAGTTGTGTTATTGGGCTTGTGTTGGCCTGTGGCATCATCTTGCATTGCACCAACAAAATTCACAAAAAAACGAGCCAGCAAACTAAAAGTTATTTATTTTCCAGAATAACATGACAATTTTTTCTAGTCATCTGCTAAATAATGCGTCCTGTCAGAGACGGTTAATATGAATATAATTTTAATTTTTTTGAACTTACTTACGTTGAGAGCTACAGAAGATGTTTATCGTTTGGATAATCTAATGCTCCTCAGTGCCTTAATAGTTCAGAGTGAACAGTGTTCTGGCGGTCAACTGTAGTAATGTATTTATGTTCATTCGAAGAGAATTTCAGTGTTTTGGACTTCATATTTGGGGTAGTCGTGCTGTAACTACCCTTTGCGAATTCATGTAGCACATATGCTTGAAACAGAGCTCACCTCGTTGCTCGAATGTAACAACTGTACTGTTTGTTCTGAAAGTGTATTTTCACGACAGTGTCAGTAATGCTAATTCCTTTGTCCATAACCATTTCTCTGATGTTGTTTTCGGAATGTATTTATTTCTGTTTTTGTTGTGTTATATTTAGTATTTGTCGCTGGAATCATTTTTTTGGCACGTTGTTTGTCTGTCGAACAGCTGGTGCTTTATGGCTCTGACTGAATGTTCTGGGTTTGACTGACAAGACGATGTGAACCGATCCATCCTTTCCACGAGCCAGAACAAATGATCTGTCCCATTGACCATCCAATGCAACAAGCTGCTATATTGTGATTTAATTGTAGGAGGTGTTCATCCATTGACAAACAAATAAATGACAAAATATTAGCACAAAACAGCTTTGCTTGATTATATTTACATTTAGTCATTTAGCAGACGCTTTTATCCAAAGCCACTTACAAATGAGGGCAATAGAAGCAATCAAAACCAACAAAAGTTCTGTGACAAGTCTCGGTTAGCCTAATGCAGTTCATGTACAAGGTATTTTTTATAATAAAAAGAAAACAAGAAGATAGAATAGAGAATGCTAGTGTTAGTAGTAAGAATAGAAATAGAATAGAGAGTGCTAGAGTTAGAGGGTCAATTGTAGATGGAAGAGATATGTTTTAGTCGTTTCTTGAAGTTGGATAAGGACTGCTTAGATTGAGTTGGGCAGGTCATTCCACCAGGAGGGAACAGTTAATGTAAAAGTCTGTGAAAGTGATTTTGTGCCTCTTTGGGATGGCACTATAATGTGCTGTTCGCCGTTGATTATTTGATTTATTTTTAAGTTACAGTATAAACAGTCTAAATTATTAATATTTGTCATGATCTTAAAGGGGTCATATGATGTTGCTAAAAAGAACATTATTTTGTGTATTTGGTGTAATGAAATGTGTTTATGCGGTTTAAGGTTAAAAAAACACATTATTTTCCACATACTGTACATTATTGTTTCTCCTCTATGCCCCGCCTTTCTGAAACGCGTCGATTTTTACAAAAATGTGCTCTGATTGGCCAGCTATCCAGTGCGTAGTGATTGGCCGAATACCTCAAGCGTGTGACGGAAATGTTATGCCCCTTATCATACTGTGATGCCGTGTCCCGGCCGGAGCGACGAGACAAAAACATTAAAACCCATTATAAACGAGGCATTTGTTGCATCCAGTGGGGACATAATTACAGATTATAATGACTTATACTGTCTTTTTACGCGTTGCATCGCGCCGCATAAACATAAAACCATGTCTGCATTTGTGATCTGAGAAATGACAAACTCTGCTACTCTACACTGCTCAAAACTCGCGTTTGAATCGTCAGTGGCAAATTCTTTAAATATAAAAAACGTACTTGCAGTCTGTGAGTCAGAACAGCCGGCATTGTAAGTTCAGTCTTCCGTTAAATGCACTGTAAATTAAATGCGCTCTGGAACAGTGTTGTAAATACAACTTAACCACTGATTTCTAGTTGTGTCATCTTTTGGAAGGCCAAACAAAGTAGTTTCGCTTTCACAACGAAATGGCGATGGCAGCAACAATACTACAGCGAGAATAAAAGTTACGCCTTCTTTCTTTGCGTGAACATTTGGGCGGTGTTATGCAAATCTTCCCACATCGTGACGTAGACATGTGGGGGCGTGTTAGAACGAGCCGTTTTAGGTAGGCGTGGTTAACCCTTAACTTTTAGAAAGAATATCTCTTTGGGTTTGAGACTTTACACACAGTCTTTGAAACTTTACAGATCTTCTTTATGCACCAAGAGCTTGTAACACTCTAAAGAGAAAGGAAAAATGTAAATCGCATCATGTGACCCCTTTAAAGAAAAGTTCATTTAAAGGCTCATTTAAATAGTTTGGTAAACAAATACTGTATATCAATTGTTTTATTTATACTGTAATGATTTCAATGTAAGATAGCCTCACATGGCACCATGAAATGTAGAGATTTTAGATCTAAGTAGTGCCACAAGTGTAAGCTAAGGCTTTGGGCTTAAATATGAATATAAATGTTTCGTTTTGGTCACATTATTTTATGGGGCACCAGCCAAGGAATTTCACCTTGACAGTAAAGAACAATCATGGAAGATTGTTGAATAGATAAGAATTACATAAATTAGAGGAAGTTGTAGTCTGACCAATCTGAAGGATTTGTGAGATATTGATAACTTGTAGAGCCTCTTACTGTATTGTCAACACAAGGAAGGCACAATTATAATAAAATGAGTTTTATTAACAAAAGGATAGACAAGAGTAACTAACAACTACTAAATGGGTATAATGAATGGATAAAGAGCAAAAGATTGATAGATGCAAGTGACTGAGTTGGATGTTACTATGGAAGTAATTAGGTAAACCTTATTCTCGATTCAACAAATCAAGAGCTTATTTGTTATTAATTAACATCAGCTATATAAAATCTAATGCAATAGATAATCATATACTGACAATACACACTAATTCCAACGGTCTCTTAGGAAGAGGTTTGGAAAGAGTGATATTTACATTCTACCTGGTCATGTCTGAGCGGTGATGTCTTCCACTTGTTGATCTGAGTCACGTTGCAGTGGGAAGAAAGGAGTTGAACCCGTTTCACAGTCTAGAACACGAAGCACTGGTGAACGATGAACTCCTGAGCACTGAGAAGGTCTTTGGTCTGGAAACACACAAACAGAGGAGCCTTGAAGGTGAGTGTTCTGAAGTCTGTGCTGAAGATCCAGGCAAACTGGAACACGCAGAGAGAGGATCACTGACAAGACGATTCTGACGTTGGTAGAGAAAATCCTGGCAGTCTGGAACACAAAGAGAGGATCACTGAAGAGAAGGTTCTGAAGTTGTGGCAGAAGATGGGGGGCACTAAGCTTGTGGTCATTGTTGCTGATGCAGTTTCCAAACTCCCCAAATGTGCTTCTTTCAGAACATCTTTGATTCTCCTTGGAATACTTTAGCGTAGCAGCTTAGCAACATAGAAAGAGAGATGACTCTTTCTTTTTCTCTGAGAGAAACTTTTAATCCTTCCTGAGAAGGAGGGATTTGCAAGTTGGCACCTTTCAAATCCAGCGTTTTGATTGGCTGAAGCTGTCGGAGGTGGTCATGGTATGGCTGTATAAAAAAGCTTTTAAAAATATAACTTTTTATTGTTATTATTATTTTATATTATTGTTACACCACTTGACATTTTTTGGAATGATTCAATCAAAATTTTTGTACTGAACTGTAGAATTTTTTTTTTAATGTAGAAACTAAAATTGATACAAGGATTTTGCATATCTAAAAATCTGACTGAGATTTTCTCCTATTTCTGGCATCTCTTTACTTGTTAGTGACTATATTTGCATATAGACCAATAATGTGTTTATTTCCAATAATCAGAGTACAGACTTAACTACAGAAGGATGCTCACATGCCCGTTTATTGCAATTTTATTGCAATTGTTATGATTAGGAGCTTAATCGCATCAATTTGATCGTATTGGGTTTGCATGAGGTAAAGTTTAATTGCAATATTGCCCAAATCTCATTAGAATTGCATTATGAGGGTGTATTTAAACGTCATTGTCCCAAACCATTTTATGTTCTGCAAGTGCTAAAGGCGATATATGGAGACCTGTACAGACGGGACAATGTGGTCCCGAGTGGCCCACACACACATTCAGGCGTGGGCGGCTATTTCCAGTACACCCTCTTTATGATCACCAGTAAAGGCTACATTAAACCGTCGATACAAGCCATCGTCAGTGGAATAGTCAAGGTATGCTTTACTGGCCTGCTCTCATTTAAAATGCATTTCTGATATGTTAACATATAAATGTGTACCCTTTGGATTAGTTCGTGTAAATGCCTTCAGCATGTCATTGATAATGTTTTCTACTCTGTGTATCAGAGCATTGATATAGCTCACAGGAATTTGAGACCTGGACGCATTTTCATAAATAAAGGGCAACTAGTTGATACATTCATGCATGAACAACCCTGAGGAGGAGAGAAACAGGTTTGTTTGTTTGCTAATATTGATCTAGCTGTATTGTAAAGGAACTCAAATCCCACCAGTGGCAGAAATCAGCTTTAATTATTAAAGGGATAGTTTGCGCAGAAATTAAAATGCTGTCATCATTTACTCACCCTCATGTTTCTTTCTTCTGTGGAACACAAAAGTATATTTTGGAAGAATGTCTGTAACATTCAAACTGTTTCGGGTCCTACTGACTTCCATTATAATTATGATTAATTATGATTCCAATTAATACAAAAGATAGTTGCCACACAACAGTCTTTATTTCAGTGACTACAATAAGATTTACAGTCAGAAATCAAATTACACAAATGCTCGTTTAAATTGTAAGTATAAATCTAAAAGTTGGAAGTTGCCCCAGGTTGGGGCAAGTTGTCACTTTTTTTTTTTTTTTACCCAAACTATGCTTTCATATTGTTGTATGTACACTCTAAAAAATGCTGGGTTATTTCAACCCAACTTTGGGTCAAATTTGGAGTAACCCAACTTTTGGGTTAAAAATTTAACCCAACAGTTGGGTTAGTCCATATTTGACCCAAAGTTGGGTTGAAACAACCCAGCATTTTTTAGAGTGTAACATTTAAATTTAGCGGTTTTATTAAGTGTTTTACATCTCATAATTGTGTTACAGTAAAATGTGATGACAGCTAGCCACAGTCTCTCCTAATGGTTTAATTGATATGTTTGTGTTAAAAACACTTAATATTAGTTACACATTAAACAACACTCATGTAACAGCTGTGAGTTACTACAGGTTAATTTCTGACTCTGTTTCCAACCCAGATATGAATTCAATACAGACAAGCAGATTGTCATCATGAAATTCACAGACCTGGACGGGGATGGTATGGGCTTGCTCAGGTATAAAAAACACCTTTTACTTCAAATAATTATAAGTTTCAGTGCAAACATAATAATATCTTAGGGATTTATTGGCTATGTATCTGCCCTCAGCTGGTTTGCTGTACATCCCGTCAGTATGAATGACACCAATCGCATGGTAAGCTCGGACAACCTCGGCTACGCCTCCTTTGCCTTCGAGCAAGAGAAAAACAAAAGGTCAACCTTTTAATTAGAGCCTTTTCCCCCTGAGCCCCATCATCAAGGTTAATTAATTGTCTTTATTAGTTGTAATCTACTTGAAGAGTTCACAAGGACATTTTGCCATTCAATATAGTCAATAGTTCTCCTGAGAATGCTCTAAACACGGAGGAAGTTTATTGAAGATGGATAATTAATGTTGTTATTATGCCAGATCTCTTTGCCCTATAAATTAAACAGAAGATACAATTTATGTTGCTTATGTCGGCAGTTATTTTTAATAGGCTTTTTGACTCGGGG